CAATATGGGGTGCTGTGTGTACATTAATGAGGAAAAAAAATTAACTTAAATGATTTTAGCAAATGGCTGCAATATAACAAAGAGTGAAAAATTTAAGGGGGTCTGAATACTTTCCGTACCCACTGTATATAATACATCTGTATATTACAAATAAAGTATAAAATAAATACAAATATTAATAAAAAAATAAAAAATATATTAAATATATTTAAGTAGTTTGGGGTTAAACTAAGGTTTAACTAAATTAAATTAAAATGAGAAATGTCACATTGGTAACACATACATACATGCATACAGTACATACATATCATACCTTACATACATACCATACATACCATAAATACATACATACGTACATACATACGTACATACATGCATACAGTGGCATGCGAAAGTTTGGGAACCCCTTGCAGAATCTGTGAAAATGTGAATAATTTTAACAAAATAAGAGAGATCATACAAAATGCATGTTATTTTTTTATTTAGTACTGGTGACAACTTTTTGACTTTGAAGATCAAGGTAAATTGTACTTAATTTGTCTTCCGGGAAACATGCAAATATCTTCTGTTGCTTCCGAAGGGATATGCAAAAGATGCTGGAAAACTGAAGAATCTGCAGGAGCTGGATTTTTCTGAAGAACAGTGCTCAGTTTAACTGTTCAGAACAAACAAGGGACTCATGAACAACCATCACAAAACAAAAAAACAACCGTGGATCATCCAGGTAACCACACACAGTATTAAGAACCAAGGGTTCCCAAACTCTTGAATGGGGTTTTTTGAATAATTTCAGCTATTTTTTTCTTGTGGACTAAATGTAAACATTTTATGTAAAATATCTTACTCAGGACAGTACTAAATGAAAAATAACATGAATTTTGTATGATCTCTCTTATTTTGTTAAAATTATTTACATTTTCACAGATTCTGCAAAGGGGTTCCCAAACTTTTGCATGCCACATTTTAGCAAATGGCTGCAATATAACAAAGAGTGAAAAATTTAAGGGGGTCTGAATACTTTCCGTACCCACTGTATATACAGAAATGGGTTTTTTTTCTTCTTATGGCTCCAATTTTAGCTTCTGATTTTGTTTACTATAATAACTCTGGTTTGTACAATAAACACATTTTCTTCACAGTTCCACAGAAGAAAAAAAGTCATACAAGGGCATTTGTTTTTCATTTGTGTAGACTTCTGCAACACAGGAACTAAATATTTAATGTTTTTATTTTATTATTGTGTTAAGTATATTTTCCTAACATGTCATGTTGAAATAAAAAAAATACAGAGACTGTATAAGCTTCTCAAAAAGTGTTGTTTCACTCTGTTAACTTCCTGTTTATCTGTCTCTCTTCTGTAATGGGACTGCCATCTAGCTGTCTGTTGTCTTAATATTTCAGTCGCTCTATTCATTCATACATTTTTCTCACCAGCCCCTGGGAGTAATCCTCGCGTGGTTTCAATCAGGCCCATCTGCGCAGAATGTGCTGCAAACACACACACACACACACACACACACACACACAGAAAAAGGTCAGTTGAAGGACCCAGCCTCTGCATGCTGTGACCACAGAGATTCTCCACTCCATGAGTTGTGATACCTGTCGTGATCTACCCCCAGTAGGTCAAAGCAGCCACTCACCTGCTGTGCGAAGGTCACACGCTAGTGCCAATTCCAAACCGCCCCCGAGAGCAAAGCCGTCCACTGCTGCGATGGTTGGCATGGGCAGCGCAGCTGGCACATAATGAACACACACACACGGATCAGACAGGTCATAGATCACATTAATGGGAGTTTTTATACATTTTTATATATGATTTTTTATTTTATTTAAGTTTAAATTTACTTCAATAATTTGTTTTCAGTTTCTCAGAAAACTTCACTTTGTATCTCAAGTATTAATACAATTCAAAATAACAGTTTTCCATTTGAATATGTTTTAAAATGTAATTTATTCCTGTGATGGCAAAGCTGAATTGTCAGCATCATTACTCCAGTCTTCAGTGTCACGCGATATGTCAGAAATCATTGAAAAACACTGAACTTGGTGCTCAAGAAACATTTCTTTTATTATTATCAATGTTGAAAAGTTTTTTTAAGCTTGTCAAATGCTGTCAAAAAAACATGTGTAAAAATTGAGTAACTATTTACTTGTCTTCCTGTCGTGTTGTAGAAAGGCTCCAAATGATGTCACTTCCTGGGTGACGCAATTTTTACGGAATGGTACATTTTTTGTAATGGGAGAAAATCCTGCAGTAACTGGATTGCATGCATTTGTGGTACACAGATACATATGGTTTTGGTTATTAAAATAAGTTTATTAAAATGAAACTGAAGAAAATACTTTAAATACCACATACTAAGAAATGTAGAAAATCATGTGAATTTTTCAATTCAACTTTTTTACTTGGTTTGTAATAAAAAAATATATATATATTTTAAATGTTTAAAATTAGAAGCATTTAAATACCATTGTGTATGGACACTCATTTCTGTTTTTCGGATAAAATGCTAGTAGAAAATTGTATAGAGAAGGTTCTTTCTCAACCTTCTGCTTACAAAACAGTAGCATTTTCCTAAATGTTATTTGCAAACTATGCAAAAATTGAGGGCACGGAGAAAATGTACCTACAGTGAGTTTATTATTATGCATATCCAATCATTCTCACCTCCAGCCATAATCCCATTTGCAGCTGGGAAACAATTACCTTTTCAGTGCAACACTATCAGAATTCAGAGTTCTGTATCATCACTTTCTCTGCAGGATTATAGTCATTTTGCAATATTCGTGAGAAACACCATCCTCGTGTCTCACCGATGTCATTCATTAGTGATCGGAGGCCATGTACAAACAGCTCTGCCTCAGGGTTACTCATCTGAGCTCTCTCCTTAAGATCTGCCCCTGTTAACACACAAAAATACTATTTATGACATTTGCAAATATCTGCTTCGGCTCTTCTTTATTATACTGATATTTCCTGTAAAACACAACATGAGCACGAGAAAGTATTTTTAAAAATGGCATCATCTTTGAAGTACACTGGCAATGCTGTCTTTGGTTTTATGTGACAGAATCCTTTACATACCTGCAGGGTATCAAACTCCTGAAGACCACCACACGAACTGCTGCATCATGATGCAACGATGACACCAGCTCTCTCATCTACAAAGAGAGAGAGAGATATTGATGCATATATAAACAGAGAAAAATAAAAAACAGGAAATATTGATTTGAGGCAGAATTCTGGGAGAGATATGCCCGATTTATTTTTGACTTTGTACACTCTTATTTATTTAAGACCCTGACTCACTTTTGCCAGACTTTCTTTCGATAAACTGATCAAATACAAACGTTAAAAAAAAGAGTTCTTATACACTCTAAAAAATGCTGGGTTAAATATAACCCAGCGCTGGGTTAAAAAGGGACAACCCCAGCGGTTGGGTTGTTTTGAACCCAACCACTGGGTCAAAGCAACCCAACCTCTGGGTCAAAACAACCCAACCGCTGGGTCAAAACAACCCAACCTCTGGGTCAAAACAACCCAACCTCTGGGTCAAAACAACCCAGTAGCTGGGTTTGTCCCTTTTTAACCCAGCATTTTTTAGAGTGTACTACTTTGTGGAAACAGAAAGAAGAAAATAGACAGAAATGGACCATCTGTTGCTCAAGTGAATTAAGTTCATATTTAAAAACATTCCAGCGATTGGTTGCATGTTGAACAGTTAAAGACTATATACTGTACAGTCATACCATACATTCTTTAAAACTTATTTATTATTTATTTACATGAATCTGTTATCTCTAAAGGGCACAAAAAGAATGATTCCTTGTGACACGTGGTGGAAATTTAACACACCAGTAGAGGGCTGCCCGATAATGACAAAAATCATAATTGTAATTGCGATTATTAATAACGATTATCACAATTTACATTGAATGATGCTTATACTATTGTTTGAAGCAACTGCATGCCATATATTTATATGAAAATAAACAAGCTGAAAACTCTCTAACTGAAAAACTTTTATTGCTTTTCTATATTAAGCCTCAAATGTCAACTATACATTGGATTGCTTTCTTCAAGTAAAAAAAATGTAAAAATATGCATGGTATTATAATGTTTTACTAAAACTATAATTAAAACAATGGAAAAACCCTTAAGATAACCTGAAGAAAGAAAAAAAAAACATCTTAAGCAAGCAGAATAACATTAATTTCCGCTTTGAATGATTATGTAATTGTGGCATCCGAAATTGTAATCGCGATTAGAAATTAAATGAATTGTGCAGGATTATTGCGAATTGAGGGGCTTTATAATCAGTTATCGCTGGGTTAAAGTGAAACAAAAAGGCATATTTACGCATTTCACAGAAAAGAGGGCAGATAGGAAGTTCATGGACTAGATCTTCTGCTTCCTGCATGTTTGGGCTTGATGCTGTAAGACAGGGGGTTTTCTGCACTCACCTGACCCACAAACCCACGTCCCAGAGAGTTCCTCGCCCTTTCACGACACATCAGCACTTCCACTATACCTAACCAGACAAGAGAAAAGAGAAACTGAAGCTGCGGCTATGGTTGTAGTTCTCAACTGGTGGGCTGTGACCCAAATATGGGTGGCAGGTCTGTTGTGATGCGATCACAGAATGGAAAAATTATGCTAAATTAAATCATAAGTAATTGCTCTTATGGCATGACTATGGCTAAACTCTTCACATGGGATATTACATCCCAATAAAACATACTTGTAATGTTTATACTGTCACATTAAGGAAATTTCGGCCAAATTTTGCAGGCAAAACAAGTGCATAGTCTACTGTCAATAGTCTAGTGACGTGTGCAGCTCACAAAGAAGTCACATTCCAACCAAGCAACTTTGTGACAATTTGTTGCAAATTCTGCCTGGGGAAGTATTTCACCCTTGTGAAATTCTCGATCATGTGGATCTCGTAAAATGACTGAATTTTGCCTGTGAAAATTCACAGAAAAACACTAAATGTGACCAGTGTTTTCTGCTATTTAAACCCTGATTGGCAGCTATATACTTTACCTCATTTAAATATTATAAATTTACTAATATTAATACACTTCAGTGTTTGATATTATGTACAATTTGGTTTACTTTGGTACAATAAACAATTTTGGTTTTAGGTTGGGTTGCCACTCAATGTTCAATGTAAAATCTGGGTCCTGAAGTAAAAAACAGTTCAGAACCACTGACCTACATGACATTCAGAAAAGAGTACATACTACATACGCTCAAAGTCTATGTGGCAGCTATTGCGGCAAATCATTCTCTCGTGGCTAGCCAGTCAGTCGGCAGAAACGACCTGGTCGTTAAATTCCTGAGGGGAGCTCGGAGATTGAATCCACCTTGCCCTCATATTGTGCCGAATTGGGACTTGTCTATAGTCCTCTCCCTTTGAGCCTCTCCAGTCGGCCAACTTGCGGCCCATGTCGCTTAAGACCTCCCCCTCCTTTTGGCTTTAGCGTCGGTCAAGCAAGTGGGTGACATGCAAGCACTGTCAGTCAGTGCAATTCAGATGGTGAGCAGGGTCCCAATCCACTCTGCCCGGTTCGGGCTCTTAGAGTGTACTTTGAGAACTCTGACCTGTTTAGGCACTCAGAACAGCTCTTTGTGTGCTTCAGAGGCCGCTCTAAAGGGCTGCCGGTTATGAAACAGAGACTGGATTTTCTCACTGGATTTTGGATGCTATAGCCTTGGCTTACGTCTCAGAGGGCTTGCAGTGCCCTATAGGTGTGAGGGCCCACTTCACCAGAGGAATGGCCTCCTCCTGGGCTTGGTCCAGTGGGATTTCTATTGGTGATATTTGTGCGGTCGCCGGCTGGTCATCTCCGTCTACCTTCACCAGGTTATATGACTTGGACGTCCCTGCCCTGCAGGCACGGATTTTGTCCGCTTAAAGGGTAGGTCTAATGCTATTTCATGCATTCTGTGTTATTAACACTGTTAAAGAGTAGGATTCTCATGTTACACATGGCCAAAGTTGCAAAAAATGATTTGGACGTATGACAGAGTATTTCTGTGCCAAATACACTCCTTCCAGGTTCGTATAAGTTTCTGAAAGTTTATTCAAGCATGGCCCTTCATGACATCATGAAGTGCGGAATTCCTTGAATGTGCTCTTCTCCCGGGAAGAGCGTGCGCACACAGCAAACAGAGGGAGAGCAAGAGCACGCCCATCTACATGTTTCATTCGGGTTACAGAAGTCGTCGGCAGTGCTGCAGATTTGAAGATTGTTTTCGAAGAAGTGTGTTTTTGGATGTGAGGGAAAGATGACCTTGTTCAGCTTCCCAAAGAACCCAGCGTTAAAGGGTTAGTTCACACCAAAATGAAAATTCTGTAATTATTTACTCATGTTGTTCCAAACCCGTAAGACCTTCGTTCATCTTTGGAACACGAATTAAGATATTTTTGATGAAATGTGAGAGCTCTCAGACCCTGCATAGACAGCAACTCAACTGTAATGTTCCCAGGTCTAGAAACGTAGTTAGAACATCGGTAAAACAGTCCATGTGACATCAGTGGCTCAAC